CTGTAGCCCAAGCAGGCCTGGAACTATGATCTTCCTGCCTCAGCCTCCTGAGGAGCTGGAATTACAGGCCTGCACCACCAGGCCTGTCTTCCCTTTTGATTTCTAACTCCTCAAATGAGTCCTGATCAAGAGTAGTGAACATAAACACTAAGCAGGGCCAACAAGGACCTGTCCCCCAGTCAGGACTCCCAAGACACCACTAGGTTCTAGAAAAGACAGACTACTTACCAGGCATGCCCAACCCTCAGCCCACAGACTGCATGTAGCTGAGGATAACAATGAATGCAGCCCAACAAAAAAAGTATGTGTAAACTTATTTAAACATTGTGAGATGTTTGAGGTGATTTAACTCAAATGTGAGCTTTGCAGATGACAAAGTTGTCACTATGTCAAAAGACTAGACACACCAACATCCTCCCTAGCATCAGATCAATGAACACCTAAGCATAATTGACAACTCCTGCCCTTTTAGGAAAACCCTGCTGGGATGTTCCGGAGACAGCCTGGTACTATGGGAAATGCAGTTAAAAAACTCTGGAGCTCTGCAGACTTCCGCTCTATCTCAGCTCTACCATTTATGTTCTCTGTAACCTCAAGCATTTTCTCCTACGAGCTTAACTTCTCATCCATAAAATGAGGATGAGATTGATGACAATAAGCTTTCTACATCTATGTGAAGACTAGGGGAGACAGGACATGGGAATTACTCCAGGCATAGTGTGGTACTCTCCTATAATCCCCACACTTGGGAGGCTGAAGTGGAGGGTCATGAGTTCCAGACCAGCCTAGGCTACATAGTGAGACCCTGACTTAAAAAACAAACACTCAGCAGGGCACTGTGATGTATGCCTTTAATCCCAGCACTCCAGAGGCAGAGGCAGGTGGATCTCTGGAGATCAAGGCCAGTCATGTCTACAAAGTGAGTTCCCAACCAGCTGGGACTAAGGAGACCATGTCTCAAAAACCAAACACAACCACCAGCCCTCAGGAGGCAAAGACAGGTGGATCTCTTGAGTTCCATCTACAAAGTGAGTTCCAGGCCAGCCAGAACTATATAGTAAGACTTTGTCTCAAAAACTAAATAAATAAATAAATAACACAAAATGGAAATTGCCTAGCACAGAGGCTGTCACAAAGCAAGAGACCAGTAAGTGGTTCTAATTAACACCATCCACCAAGTCACTTTGAAAGAAAAGCACCAATATCCCCCACTGAAAATAACAAGCCAGATCCTGCATGTGTAGACCTAAACCTTCCTTCTCTTCTCTGTGCAAAGCTGCTCACAAGGTGCCAACCTCCCCACACTCCAAATGGAGGATCAGTTACAGCATAAAGAAAATAAATAATAGGAATTGCTTCAGGAGAGACAAGAAGACCATTTCCACAGCATTTCCTGATATAAACAGAAGCTCCAGGCACTGGCCCAAAATAGGCTGAACTGGAGGAAAGGGAAGCACATGACCCAGAAATAGGCATTTGATTTTAAAGAAGGCTTGTTTAGCTTACTTTCAAAAAGCCACAGCGGGGTGGTGCACATCCCTATCTCAACCCTTGGGAGGCAGGACTGTTGCAAATTCAAGGCCAACCTGATTTACATATCAAGTTCTAAGCCAGCCAGGGCTACAAAATAAGACTCAGTTTCAAAAAACACCCCAGAGATCAACAGGAAGGAACAATCGCTCACTTTGTCATAACTGCTAACCTACTTGCAGCTTCCTCAGAAAGAATGCCTTGCAGAGCAGTGACCCTCCACTGAGGCACAGAGCTCTGACAGTTATGTGGCTCTGATATCCCATGCAAAAATAGAGGTGGTGGGCGTGGCAGTACTAGGAGACCAGGCAGAAGGATTACTTAAATTCAGGAATTCAAGGCCAGCCTAAGCAACACAACCAGACTCCATCTCAAAAAAAAAAGCTAAAAGGGAAGAACCAAACAGACCCAGACAAGAGCCAAGGTCAACTCTCTAAACATGGCTTCAAAGCAAAAACTCTCTGAAAGCAGAAGTAATCCAACATAAACTGAGGGTTGAAGGTCTGACAAGGCTACCAACTATGGCTGCTTCACACTAAATGAGGCTTGCTCCCCCACTACTAAAAAAAAAAAAAAAAAACACCTGGGCAGCGTGGCTCAGGATTGCCACAAGTCTGAGGCCAGCCTGGGTTATACAGTGACTATAAACCAATCAGGGAGGGGTATGTAGTGAGACCCTTATTTTGAAAATTGAACCTTTAACTTTTTGGTTGTTAGCCTTAGCCTTTAACAGCTACACAATCCCTCTAGCCCGAGACCCTATTTTGAAAAACAAAACAAACAACAAAAAAGGTGTGGTGACAGAAGCCTGTCCCAGCTAGAGGCAGTAGAATAAGGAGTCAAGGTCATCTTCAGCAACAAGTTCAAGTTCATATATGAGACTATTAAAAAATAAGCCCACTAAGGAGCATAAGCTGAAAAGAATACTGTTCTCCCTTTTCCAAGTGTTAACTTCCCTATCAAACTCCTGAGTTGTTATTTTGGTCTGCTTCAATCATGCCAGACTCCCCAAGCCAGTAGCTACCGCTCCAGAACTCTGGCCACGGTCCCACCCACAGCCTGCTTAGTCAATGCTCACCTTCAGGAAAACCACCAAGAAAGTTAAGAGCAACAAGACAATTAAACCAAAGATGAATTCACAAGCTGTCATTGCACTATGCTTAGCCTCCACCTGGCAGCCCCAACGAGGAAGAGTAGCATTTACAGGAAATAAAGGGGCACCTTGCCAGTAGACCTCCTCACAGTTCCATGAGCTGCAGTGGCCCTGTCTACCAAGAAAACCTGAAACAGAACAGAACTCCAGGGTAGGAATGGAAAGAAAGTAAAGATTTTGGAATATAGCTCAGTGGTAGAGCACTTTCCAGGCATGTAGGAAGCCCTGGCATTATTTAATCCCCAGCACCACAAAACAAGAGAAAGCAAAGAGGAAAGGAGGGAGGACTGAGGGGGAGAGACAGTGGGAGGGAGAGAGGTATGATGGGACATGCCTATACGGCATTTGGAGGCTGAGACCGGCATTTGGAAGCTGAGACAGGAATACTCCAGGCCAACCCCAGCTACAGAGTGAGACTTTGTCTAAAAAGTTAAAAGTTAAAATGATGATGATGATGATGTCAGGAACTATAGCTACCAATCCCACAAGTCCTAGAATAACTGTGAAGAATTAAAGCTAACCCTAAGAATCACCACCTTGGCCTGGGGATACAGTTTAGGGGTAGCACACTTCGACTAGCACTGCCCAGCACCTCAAAAAAAGAACCACTGCCTTCCCCTCCAAACCAGGCCCAGATCTACGCTCCCAGAGGCCAGCTTTCCCAAACTGCCTTGCTAGCCTCCTGCTTCAGGGTTCTGTACCTTGTGTCAGCACAACACAAAACTTCCAGACAGAGGTTTTGACAAAAATCCCCACTCATTTTTCCATGTCCTTCAAACAACTAAAATGAACTGGGTGGAATTTGGAGCTTACAGAACCAATATAAAAGAGTGGCCAATGACCATTTTAGAAACAACCACGGCCTCAAACTCTCCTTCCTATGATATTAGCTCATAAAAGAAACTGAAGACATTTTTTTTTGTAATTCGCAATATTCTAGTTGCCCCAGTTATTGTTTTGAATTTTTTTTTTAAGACACAGTATCACTGTATAGCCCAGGCTGGCCTCTAACTCATTATATAACCCAAGCTGATTTCAAACTTGGGATCTTCACTCTAGATTCCCAAATGCTGGGATTAGAGGCATGTGCTACCATGCCCAGACTTAGAGGCCCCAGTTTAAAAGCCATTTTAAAACCTTAATTAGCTGTAACAATAACGCAGCCAGCGGCGCTTATTCCTTAAATAATTACTTTGGAAAAATTTTCACATCCATCCCCCACACAAAACCCTGTATCCAGACCCCTTCCTCCCCTTTTTCATGATTTGTCTACACCATCCTGTTTCACCTCCTCTGGCCCAATTTGTGCACTGGCTTCACTCCACTTTCCACCAGAGATCTTTTGATATTGCTATGATGCCAAAATCTGGATCTGCAAGTACTAGATACAAACTGTCAATTCCTAAAACTTCTGGTACCTCCAGGAAGACATCCTCCACCCCTCCAAAAGCTCCTAAAACCTTTTTCCTTCATCTGCCCCTCCTTTGCACTTCCCTCATCTGATTCCATTCACTCCATTTCTGTTCCCCATGGATTCAGCAGCTCCCTGCTCCTGCCTTTACCTAAGGAGTGACTCATGATACTCCCTAAAATGTTCATTTGAGCTGAGGGACAACCATTCCTCAAAGGAGCACCTCCTGTGCTCCTTTCTCCTTATTCAAGAAGAAAACATGATGATTAATTATGACTTGATTAATCTACAACTTCCCAGACCATTTATGAACATGAAGAGTACCTGACTATAAAAGCCACTAAAAGAAAAAGATCTTAAAGAATCTTAGAGAGGCAAAATGCATTAATTACCTAACTATGTCTGTTCCTAAAAGGACATGATGCAGTTTAGTATGTGTGCTTTCTCCCCAAACAAGTTGTTAGTAAGATATATATGAAAAACAATACTTGAAAAGATTTTCTTTTAAACATAAGCTTATACAAATGAGTCAGAGAAAGAAAGAGCTGTGAAATGGATTTCACCATTAACTGGAAGGCCAGTAATTTCTTAAGACAACTCAGAAGATGGAGCCTTGGAGATTTATTTTGATCATATCAACCACTCTCAGACAAAACTTAAATCAGTCCAAGGCCCAACACTCAGCAGAGTCAATCCCCCTTTTGTTTTGGTGGTGCTGGGGATTAAATTTAGGGCAAACCCCTCCTCTGTATACATATTTTTTTCCATTTATAATCTTTCTAGCGTCTGACATATTAACATGAAGAAAAAGGATTCCCAGACAATAAAACTGATACACTAACAAATACACATATTATAAAATTCCCCTACACAAAAGTAAAAATAACATCAACTCAAATGCCTTACCATCCTTGTTAACAGCAGTGACTTTGGCCGGGTAAAATCGACAATCAGACCAGCAAGCGAGGACTTGCTCGTTTATTTGAAATTCCTATTTAAAAAAAAAAAAAAGAAGAAAAAAAAAAACATTAAAAAAAAAAATCCAGTTACTACCTGAATCTCATAAGGTGCACATTATACCAGAATTCATAAAAGAAACTAGGATACATAAGAGGATGGGAAGGGAAGGCTGGGGTGCTGGGGGCAACTGTAATGCCAGCATTCAGGAAACTAAGACAAAAGAATCATGAGTTTGCAGCCAACCTGGGCTATACAGCAAGACCATGTCTTCAAAGCAAAGAGCCGGCGAGATGGCTCAGTGGGTGAGGGTGTGTGCCACCAGGCCTGATATCCTCAGTTCAATCCCTAGGACATACATGGTAGAAGAAGGAACAACTCCTTCAAGTTGTCCTCTGACATCCATATACATACATGCTGTAGCACATGGGCTTACACACATGAACACAACCAAAATAAATAAATGATTAAGAAAAAAATAGGGCTGGTGAAATGGCTCAGAGGGGAAGGCACTTACCACCAAGCCTGATGACCTGAGTTAAACCCCCAGGACCCACGTGGTGGAAAGAGAACCAGCAGGTCACAACCTCCTATAACTGCAGCTCCTGGGTATCTGACACTCTCTTCTGGACTCCAGGGGCACTTGCACCCACTCATGCACATATACACATAGACACGCACATATAAACATAAATAAAATACAAAATAATAAGAAGGCTGGGACATAGGAGTCTCCAAACAAGGGAGGTCTGGGAAGGCACAATCTTCCCCTGTCCAGTATATATAAGGAAAGTGAATCTAAGAGCAAAGGACCACCAGGGAACACATCCAGTTTAGGAAATGGAAGAAATGAGGCTACTTCATCTTGAGGGAAATAGCCTTCATGCCTTTAATGCCACCAATAGTCCTACGGGTCTTGGCCCAGGGAGGCACTCATTCACTTTTCCATTATATGCTATTATGGCCAGGCATGGTGGCCTGCACCTTTCATTCCAGCCCTCAGGAAGCAGAGGCAGAGGCAGGTGAATCTCTGCAAGATCTGAGACCAGCCTGGTCTACATAGTGACTTCTAGGCAGGCTGCGACTAGGGACACCCTTCCAAAAAAAAAAAAAAAAAAACATTATATGCTGTCTCCTCAGCATGGAACTCACACTGATAAACTCCTTAGAATGAACACCCAATGATTACATGGAACAATACTGAACACTCCTGAACTAGAAGCAAAGAACAAAGCAAAGAAAAAAGGCCAGCCAGAGTTCATACTCCTTGATAAAGAATGGAAACCAGAATCCAGGCTGAGTCAGATTCCAAAGCAACAGAACTACTACAGATGTCTCCATGCCTGTTTTAAACACTTAAAAGAGGGGCTGAAGAGATGGCTCAGGGGTTAAGAACACTGACTGTACTTGCAGAAGACCTGGGTTTGAATCCTAGCACCCACATGGCAGCTAACAACTGTCCATAACTCCAGCTCTCCAGGGGATCCGACAGTTTCTTCTGTCCTCCGCAGGCATTGCACTACACAGGTGCACATCCAGGCAATACACACATACACATAAAATAAAATAAAAAAAAAAACTTAAGCTGGGCGTGGTGGCGCACGCCTGTAGTCCCAGCACTTGGGAGGCAGAGGTAGGCTGATCTCTGTGAGTTCAAGGCCTGCCTGGTCTACATACTAAGTTCCAGGACAGCTGGGGCTACAGGGAGACCCTGCTTCAAAAAGACAAAAAACAAACAAACAAACAAACAAACAAAAAAACACTTAAAAGTAAAACTTTGTGCATCACTATGAAGTCAGTAAGGGCTCTAGGAACAATGATGAAATTTAGAAAAATGAAAAACAGTCCAATCAAGTCCAAGTTCTTCAAGGACTTATAAACGCCTGCATATGAAACTATACAGGATCCACACACAAACTGACTGCTTAATAAATGACAGCAGATTAGCACAGTAAATGATCTTGGTATCTACATGCTAGTATACAATCTTCTAGACACACTGGTTATGAAACAGGGTCTCATTATGTAGCCTACTTAGCCTGGAAACTGCTGTGTAGACCAGGCTGGACTCAGAACTTGTGGCAATCCTCCTGCCTTTGCCTCCCAAGTGTTGAGATTACAAGGTATGTGCCACCATACCCAGCTGTTTCATTTTGTTTTGGTTAAAACAGAGTTCTTACACTCTTCGTCCTCCTCTGCTACCACCTCCTCAGGTCTGAGATTAAAAGGCATGTGCCACCACTCTGTCATGGGAAGTGAGGGGAGGATTAGATAAGATCTTACTTTGTAGCCCAAGCTGGCTTCAAACTCACACCTTGGCCTCCCAAGAGCTGGGATGAGCCACCATACCTGACTTATTCAAGAAATATTTCCTCAAGACCTAATATGTACCCAGCATTATCAAAGAGACTAGGAAAACAGTGGTCAGTAAAAAGTAAGATGCTATTCATATCAGCGTTGCCTCAAGCAAGTTTATGAACTGTTCCATCAATTGCATCAACAGGTGAAGACTGGGACTCTTCAAGAGCCCCAGTCCATGGAGACCACAGTGTTACAACCACAGGCCAAAATGAGAACTGCTCCACCAGTGGGTACTGATTTTTCCCACTAGAGGTCAAAGGCTGGACACATATTACCCTATGGAGGAGGATCAGCCTCATTCATTCCAGAACTCCCCAGGTATGCTACTCACAGAAGATCCATCGTCTTCATGTAAGCCCTCTTTCCTCAGTTGTATTTTCTCTAAAGGGCGTAAATAAGGACTGTCCCAGCAAAACCACTCATCATAACGATGGTTCCAACGCTTGAAATGGATGAGAACTTTTCCTTCTTCGTAGTCAATGTCTTCTATGTGAGCTGGATACCTGAGTCAGGGAAAAAAATTGAAGTTCCTTTAATACCCACCCAAAATATCCAAAAGTGCCCTTCCAAGCCTCTTCCCACAGGATCATGTTATAAAGTTAAAGACCTGCCATTTTAAAGCTAGGCATGGTGATACATACCTGTTATCCCAGCAATGGGAGGCTAAGGCAAGGGGACTGCTTCAAGTTTGAGGCTAGCCTGGGTTATATGAGATCCTGTCTCAAAAAAAAAAAAAAAAAAGGAAAAAGGAAAAAAAAAGTCTATTACTTTGAGATGCTGTGTATTTGGTTCAAATCTCAACTGAGTTTGGTGACTCACACCTGTAATCACAGCACTTGATAGGCTGAAGCAGGAGGAACTGCCATGGATTCAAGGCCAGTCTGGTCCAGAGACCCATCAAAAAAAAATTTGTTTTTTTTTTTTAACTTGGAGCTGGGCATGGTGACACACATGTGCCTTTAATCTCAAAAGGAGGAAGGTAGAGGCAGGCAGATCTCTATGAGATCCAGGCTAGCCTGATCAATATGAGTTCCAGACTAGCTGTGGCTACAGGGAGACTGTGCCTCAAAAAAAAAAAAAAAAAAAATCTTAACCTGGAGCTAGTTAGACAGCTCAGCACAGGGAGATGGGGGGTGGGGCTAGAGAGATGGCTCAGCAGTTAAGGGCACTAGCTGCAGGTTGGATTCCCAGTACCTACAGGCAGCTAACAACCATCTGTAACTCCAATTCCAGGGGATCCAACATTCTATTTCTGATCTCTGCAGGCACTGCATGTGTGCACTTATATACATGCAGGCAATACACTCATACACATAAAACTAATAAATAAAATTTTTAAAACATAGCTAGCTCAGCAGGTAAAAGCACTTGTCACACAGATCTGATAATCTGAATTGATTTCCAGAACCCACCTTAGAAGGAGAGAATCAACTTCCAAAGTTATCCTCTGACCTCCACATTCACGCTGTGACACGCAAATACTCACAAACACAGATCATACCTATTACAGTAAAAGTTTTGTTTTAAATCTCAACCTGATAATTCCTTAATTTATGAATTATTAAATTAATCTATTAGAACCTGAGTTCCCTCATGTAAAGGTGGTTGCAGAACCAGTTAGAAGACATGATATAGGAGCTGGAGAGATGGCTCAGCAGTTAAAAACACTGGCTGTTCTTGCAGAAGATCCAGGTTTGAATCCCAGCACCTACATGGCAGCTAACAACTATCCGTAACTCCAGTTCCAGGGGATCTAACAGCCTCTTCTGTCCTCCGAGGGCATTGCACAACACAGGTGCACTTACCTAATATGTATACAAGGTCTGAGCAAGGGCACAGGAAGCAAACAGGAATATTCTGATTATATTTACCATGTGCCAATAAATTAGAATGACCATGTAACCCAAACTAGACCACACAGTCTCAATTTTGAGGCTTTGATTTGGTTTTCCCTTTTTTTTTTTTTTTTAAAGACAGGGTTTCACTATGTAACCCTGGCTGGCCTGGAATTCACTGTAAAAAAGGTCTCAATCTTACAGAGATCTGCCTGCCTCTACCTCCTCAGTGCTGGAATTAAAAGCATGTACTACCACAACTAAGGCGTGGTATTCTGAAACAAGGTCTCATGTTGCCCATGCTGGCCTCAAGCACTACATAGCTAAAGATCCTCTTGCCTCTATCTTGCAAGTGCTAGGATTACAGGCATGTGCTAACATGCCCAGGTATTTTTGAGTATTTTTAAAGCCATATAATCAAGAACTATGTAGATATTTAAAAAAAAAAACACAAGATGAGGGAGCTGGAGAGATGGCTCAGCGGTTAAGAGCACTGTCTACAGGCCAGGAGGAGTGGTGTACACCTTTAATCCCAGCACTCAGGAGGCACAGGCAGGCAGATCTCTGTGAGTTCGAGGCAAGCCTGGTCTACATAGTGAGATCCAGGTCAGCTGGGGCTACAGGGAGACCCTATCTCAAAAAGATGAAAAAAAAAAGTATTTATTACTTTTATTTTGTGTGTACAAGTATATTGCCTGCATGTGTATAAGTGCATCCATGTCAGGCAATGCCCACAGAGGTCACAAGAGGGCACTGGAACCCCTAGAACTGGAGTTAAAGATGGTTGTTAGTCACCACATGGGTGCTGGGAACCAAAGCTGGGTCCTCCGCTACAGCAGTAGTGCTCTTAACACTCTCCAGCCCCCATTTTAAATATTGTTTTTTTTTGGCGGGGGGCGGGGGGGACTTCTCACTATGTGGCCCTGGCTGGCCTGGAACTTGCTAAGTAGACCAGGCTGGCCTCAGATTCACAAGATCTGCCTGCCTCTGCCTCCCAAGTGCTGGGACTACAGGTATGTGACACCATGCTCCATTTTAAGTATTCTTATTTGGTCAAGTAAAGCAAACTCATTAACTTCTTTTCTACCTGCAATGGTCAGTGCTTTCAAAAAGATAAGGAGGTAGCAGAGGCTCAGCAGAGGAGAGATGGCTCACTTACTGCTCTTCCAGAAGGCCCAAGTTTAAATCCCAGTACCCACATGATGGCTAACATAATGATCTGTATTTCCAGTTCTAGGAAATTCAGTGCCCTCTTTTTGCCTCCATCAGCACTGCATGACACAGGCACAATTACATACATGCAGACAAAACACTCATACACATAAAATTAAATGTATTTAAAATAAAAGTCTAGGAAGTAGAGATCCACAGAATCAAGTCTGAACTTCCTATACTACAGCTCGCCACACACACTCAAATCTGAAGGAATTTCTGTGCCCTCAGCTAGCCTAAAGTATTCTTTAATTCAAAAAAGCTTTTCTTATAATACCAGCACTTTAAAGGCAGACTGCCAGTTCAAGGCCAGCCTGGCTATGGAGGAAAACCTTGTCTCAAAAATAAAAACAAAAATGCTGGAGAGATGGCTCAGCAGTTAAGAGCACTGACTACTCTTGCAGAGGACCCAGGTTCAATTCCCAGGACCCACACAGCAGCTAACAACCATCTATAACTCCAGTTCCAGGGGATTCCAATGCCCTCTTCTGACCTCCATGGGCATTGCATGACACAGGTACATTTATACATGTAGGTAATATACTCATACACAAAAATAAAAATAAATATTAAAATAAATAAACAACAAAAACCCTTCACTGAACTGGGGTATCCTAACTGTATATGGACCTAAAGAAAACTCTCAAGAGGCTCAGCAGCTGCCAGTAGACTCAACAGTGGCAAAGGACACAGTTTCCTGAAAGTGGTTCTCTCCTGTGAGAGTAAGGGGACATAGCTATATGTCAGAGATAGAAGTAGTAAAGAGCATCTTACAAGATTGCGTCTGAGATAGAGGAAGCAATAAAGAGCATCTTATAAGATCGACCCAGTAAGATTTAATAGATCACAATTGCTACCTGCTTTGGGGACAGCTCAGTTTCATCAGTCACAGAACTCTATTAAGTGCCTTTGATGTAACAAGTCAATTATAGGCTCCAGAAGGGATTATATACACATGTGCTCTGACCCTATCCTTGAGGCAAACCTGATCTATTAAATGACTAAGCTTTCAAACTCTTAGGTTGAACTATAGGAAATTGGTGATAGCCAACTGCTTTTTGCCCACAAAAATAATAATTTCATCTGGTTCAACTTAAAGTATCTAGAAAACTACAAGATGGACTAGGGAGGATGAGGCAAGGTTATCAAAAGGAGTTGGAATGTTCTACTCATAGGCAGGAAAGGGAAGGAATCCCTAGTTTCAAGTGTAACTAACATCCACTAAGAGACTCACTCTCATTTGCAAGCCCGAAATTTTTCTTTTCAACAGGGTCTCACTATGTAGTCTTGGCTGGACTGGAACTCACTACATAGACCAGGCTGGCCTTGAACTCAGAGATCCTCCTACCTCTGCCTCCTAGGCAAAGTACTAGGATCAAAGGCATTCACCACTATACCTAGCTTCCCATTCTCATTTCAAACCACTCACCTCCCAGTAGCTTCCTAAGCCAAACCAAACCTTCTACCCACATTCACCTTCCAGAGGCAACAACTAAAAGAG